TGTGCTGCATCCTATATATATAATATATAAATAACTATTTTTTTTTTTTTAGGCGTTTCACCCCAAACAAGGCGGGAAGCCACTAGCACACAAACGGGTTACAGAGAGTTGGAGCGAGAGCAAATAGGAGTGATAGAAGAAAGGATGAAGAGAAGGATAGGGGAGAGATCAGGGCATCTGGAGATGTCGATTGACATTACATTTGAATAGTTTGAGATCATAGCTATCAGGAAAACAAGAAAAGGGGAGGGAGCTCCACACGCGAAAGGTGCGAGACGTGAAGCTATTGGAGTAGAAGAGACGGCTACATTTAACAGTTTCGGCAGTGAAAGGGTGTGAGCGAGATGCCAGCCTAGTAGAACGCTTAAATTCATGAAGTCTGGGAACCAACGAAAGCAGCTCATCGGAGCAATTACCGTGAAAGTATTTGTAAAAAAGACAGAGGGAGGCGACGGCACGTCTGTGAGAGAGCGACTGCAGACGAGATGCCAGATCAGGGCCAATTATATTGCATATCCGTCTCTGGATCTTATCAAAAACCTTGAGACAAACGTAAGAGGCACCAGACCATATATAGCAGCAATACTCCATGCATGGGCGAATGGTTGATTTGTAGTTTTGAAGGATCGATTCCGGCGAGAAAAATTTCCTGGCGCGGCACAGGGAGCCAACTTTCCTAGCGTTGACGAAGCTATTGTTCCCATCTCAGGTCAGCAGTCAATGTGATACCGTGTAGTCTGGTGGAGTTGAGCGTCAGACATTCTAATCGGGGGAGTAGGAGTGGTTCTCTGCGGTGAGTAATAGAGAGCAGTTTTGTTTTTGAGGCGTTAAAGTTAACCAGCCAATTCCTGCCCCAGTTCACAACCGTTTGGAGGTCCTTTTCGAAACGAACAGCCAGGTTAGTTTTGTCAGCGACACTAGATTTGTTTTTGAGTAAATTGTAGTGTCATCCGCGTAGATGCCTATTTAGGAACCTATGACGTCAGGAAGATCGTTAATGAAGATAAGGAACAGAGTAGGGCCTAGAATGGAGCCTTGGGGAACACCTGCGTTCGTGGGATAGGAGCTGGAGGAGAATCCGTTGAGAACGATCTTCAATACACGGTTTGACAGGAATAAGTGTATTAAGTCAAACAATCGACCTGGAATTACATAACCCTGAAGCTTGCGAAGAAGGCCGGCATGCCAAACCCTATCAAACGCTTTGGAGATATCTAGAGCCACGGCACGAGCTTCTCCGTTAATATGCTAAGTCCAACATTAGCTGTGGTTTACCTATTTCAAGCCGCTGGCGAGTATTGTATTTCGTTGATGTCATAAAGATTACCATTTCATTTCCAACCTCCGTTTTGGTTATTCCTCATTCAGTAACCCTTCTTAGGTTAAAACATTCTGGCGACAAGAATTTGGCCGAACTCAAGTAAACGTTCACCAGTTCAACGTTTGATGAACAAAGATTTCGACAGAACTCCCGTAAACTTTCTAGGTTACAACAGAGTTCCAATGTCGAGAAGTAGAAGTAACAGTTACATTTAACTATTTCAACAGTAAATGGGTGGGACCTAAATGCCAATTTAGTAGCACGCTTAAATTCATGTAGTCGGGTCACTGGAGAAAAAAGAAAGCTCGTCAGCGCAGTTGCCATGAAAATATTTGTAGAAAAGACAGAGGGAAGCCATTTTGAGAAAGTGACTGAAGTCGAGATGCCAATTCAGGACAGATTACATGGCAGATCCTTTTTTGGATTTTGTCAAGAACCTCGGGATGAATAGCAAGTGCACCAGACCAGATATGGCAACAATATTCAATGCACGGATGAAAGGTAGATTTGTAAATGTGCAAGATGGACTCTGATGAGAAAAAAACCTTTCGGCACGACAGTGAACCAACTTTCCTTGCAATAGATGCAGCTATTGATTCAATGTAGTTGTTCCACTTCAAGTCAGTTGAAAACGTGAGGCCAAGTAGGTGCAACGAGATATACTCCAAGTTTCGAGCATCAGCCATGCTGATGGCGGGAAGAGAATTTTCTATATTGTGGTTAAATGAGAACGGTTTAGTTTTGGATGCATCAAAATTTACAATCATTTCCTGCCCAAGTTAACCACTGATTTGAGATGCTTTTTCAAAAGCAGCGTCCAGGTTAACTTTGTCAACTTTTTGTATTGAAACAGATGTAAGTGGTTGTGTCATCTGCATAAATGCCTAGTTGGGAATTGATGGCATCAGGAAGATCATTGATGAAGATTAAAAACAGGGTAGGACCAAGCATAGAGCCTTCAGGGACACCTGCGTTCATGGGAAAGGGTGCAAATTTTAAAATGGTCTATCGATTTTCTCGATTTAAAATCAGATGGATTTAAATCCTCTGAGTGTCGAATTCGCCAAGCCTTCTTTCCCCATTATGTGTCCCAGTAATTCTAGTTGTGTCTCTTTCTGATCCTAAGTGCAGTTTTTTTTGTTCCCATTTTCCTTTTCTAAGTGATGACAGAATGTCACTAGTTTTGTTCGAATTAAACCGAAAATCAAATATTGCTGTCAGATCTGAGCCGGAGCTTTCTTGTCTTCCCAGCCTTCAAAAATGTTTACGTGGCCTTGTGGGTGTTGAATTGTTTTCAAACCTGCAACGCCATTTCGATAGACTTGCGTCTTAGTTATAATATCGCCTTGCTTGGGTAGAATTGATTAAAAAAACAGACGACGTTTTTTGATGCCATGTACGTTCAGAAAGTTGGCGAAAGATACTCTCCGGGCGTCTTTATCTTGATTATCTGTGAATGGCCATGAATTCTTGGGCAAATATATCGGTACCACTTAAGTATGTGATCTTTGGTTCTTCTTAACCCTTTGCTTGTCGATGGCACTTTCATGTGTACTATTAAAACGTTCATACTTGTTTTCAAATTTATAAATATTGCAAGGCAACTCGGTTTATTTGGCTAATAGAATATGCTTATATATAGTGCTTCACATAATGAAAACTTACAAATCATAAGTTATTTACAGAACGCTCTATGTGCCACATATGATACACATTTTGTTATATGACAGACTATATACCAGCACATTCTATTTGCCAAATAAACTGATTTACCTTGCAGTAGTTATAAATCTGAAAACAGGCCAGCGTCCTGTGGTCATAGATGATTCCCAAAATATTAGATTAAGCCTTTCCTCAAACATCTTGCTCAATAATAGACTCTTTTCTTAAGCGTCCTTAGTTTTATTACTCTTTTAAAATCATGGCTTGTGTGCAGCACATATGATACACGGTGGTGGAAATCACCTCTTGTGCATCCCATATGACGCGCAGGGCAGGCAAAATGTTAAATTCTCCAAGGGCTTCTGCTTATAACTAATCTAAACATTAAGCCGTGCAAAAATGAATTTCTCAAAATTTTATAAAATTAAATAGGTGTATACGTGAGGCAGCTCAGCTTATTTGACAAAAAGAATGTGCTGATATATAGTTTCACATTATAAATACCTATGCGTCACTATCAGAGAAGGTACAAATCATAAATTATTTACACCACGCTCTGTACATCACATGTCTTGCAAAGGTTATAATCATTTTCAGTAAAGTAGGAAAATAGATGTCTTTCATTTGAGATCTTACATTATCAGTCTAGCGTCCTGTGGTCAGAAATGACGACCAAAATATTAGTTTAGGCCTTTCCCCAGACATCTTTACTTAAGCGTCCTTAGTTTTAGCATACTTTCAAAATCATGGCTTGTATGCCCCACATATGATGCACAGACGTGGAAATCACATGTCCTGTGTATCTTATATAATGCGCAGGACAGGCAAAAGGTTAAGAACATGATTTGCGTTCTTAAGTTAATGTTTCAGTTTCGTAGCATTTTTCGATGTTGGACAAAAATAACTCTACCGTAGTATATGTAAGATTTTCTTATATCTACTGTCAATACATATCCATAAAATGATGCATTTAAAGATTTTAGCATTAATTCCAAAATCTGGGACTTTTATGAAGTATTTCCGGTAGGTGCCATGACTGCTTTCATTCCATTTCATGATTATGGTTTTCTAACTGAAAAGGAATGCCGCTAATGGTTTTACAGACAGAGTATCTCCGTCGTCCATGTTTTAAAATCAGGTTCAGGTGTCTGGGATTTGGATTTAGAATTTTCCTTCTCCTCGACTGGTTGCTAACCACATCTTGTATGCTATTTACGCAATAGGTTGGTAGGAGAATAGACGGATGTCTACGAAAGTGTATAACGAACTCGACTGGGGTTCGAACGAGGATCGCCGAAATTCTTGTTCCTAGCGGCTAAACATTACACTTCAATAACACGCTTATAGTGAATGAAGCGAAAGAAAAAGATTAAGTCTTTCTTCATACACCCTGCTCTAGAGTAGACTCTTTTTTTTAAGTGTCCTTTAGTTCAATTGATGGAAAATTATGCGATCCAATGGCATTTTTCTTTTGCAGTAAGGTTCACCATGTAAAAGGCCCAGAGCTCCCTCGAGATAAAGGCTTAGATTAAGTGGCAGTTTCTTTGGAAAAGAAGGGGAAGCTAACAGTTAACTCTAGACAAGTTACGATTGAAGTGATCGGGGAAACATTCTCAGTCTTTTCCACAGAGAAGTAGTTCACGAGAAGAGGCTGTTTGAGTGGAACTTACTTCTCACCGATGGAATACGGAGAGAATGTGAGTGGTTTGCTATTATGGAAACATCATGGCGGCTTCTAGCCGTAAAGGTTTGACCTGGTGGAACTAAGGAATGTACTTCGTCCGAACACGTCTAATGGAATTAGCGATAATGCATTAAGAGACTCGCTTACATCCCGCTTGTGAAAGAAAAGGTGGAAAAATAAACCTTCTGCAACAAGGAGTCAGAGACGCTTTTGAAATCTATCAAGACTTGAAAAAGATGTCCGGGAAGCTCCCGCCCAAATATATTTAAGAGATTTACAGTCAGTTATAATAGAAGTTAAAATACTAATTTCCTTTGGTTTTTGTTTTATCATATGGTATTATTTGCTTGGTATATTATCATAGCGTATTACACAAAGACTACTTCTTTGTCTTGTCGTATTCCGTATATTCCTATTTGTAATGTGTATTTTAAATAATGTAGAGAATTTTCTTAGATCGTAGATCACATATTTTAATCATCCGAGTTACTGGAAGACTATACTTGAAAACAGATTGCATATTTAAGAAGCACCAATATGTCTTAGTCTGTTCTTCTCTCTTTCTCTCTCTTTTTGTCTCCCTCTCTATCTATCTATCTATCTATCTATCTATCTATCTATCTATCTATCTATCTATCTATCTATCTATCTATCTATCTCATTCTGTTCGTATCTATCTATCTATCTATCTCATCTATCTATCTATCTATCTACTAATGCATATAATTTTATGAAACAATCTATGTTGAAGCACCAATATATCTGAGTCTGTTCATTTCTCTCTCTCCATCTATCTATCTATCTATCTATCTATCTATCTATCTATCTACTAATGCATATAATTTTACGAACCAACTTACTGTTACAACATCAATATATCTTAGTTTGCTCATTTCTATCTATCTATCTATCTATCTATGTATCTATCTATCTATCTATCCCAGTTTGTTCATATAAATCTCTCTCTGTTCATATCTATCTATCTATCTATCTATCTATCTATCTATCTATCTATCTATCCGAAACAACCTACTGCTACAATAGTAACATAATCCTAGTCTTTTCATTTCTCTCTCTGTTTGTGTATCTATATATCTATCTATCTACTAATGCATATAATTTTACGAAACAACCTTCTGATGCAATACCAATATATCTAAATCTGTTTATTCTCCCTCTCTCTCTCTCTCTCTCTCTCTCTCTCTCTCTATCTATCTATCTACTAATGCACGTAATTTTACCAAACAACCTCCTGTTGCAATACCAATATATCTGAGTCTTTTATTCTCCCTCCCCTCTCTCTCCATCTCTCTCTCTCTATCTATCTATCTATCTATCTGGTAATGCACGTAATTTTACGAAACAACCTCCTGTTTCAACAGCTTTTGCCGAATTATAGTTATGCAATGTTCTGTAAAAACACAATAGACCGATACCCAAAAAAATAAAACGAAGTAATTTTTCCGTATCAAGACAATGATAAGCAATAAAAGAAATAAAATAAATCCAACTCGGCTGTATGAATTTTTACATTCTTTACAAAAGAGCACAAAATGACAATAACATTTATATATATATATATATATATATATATATATATATATGTTTGTGTTCTTATTTTCTTTTGTCAGGTCTCACCTCGGTGAAGATGATTTTAGTCTCGCCCTAATATGCTTTCATTATCCAACTCAAAACTCTATTCTAACCCAAAACTGTGTAATTTTGAGAACTGGTGTTATAGATGATGGGGAAAGGTGGCAAACGACACTTCCTGCACTCGCCATTAACACAGCTATTGATGGTTTGCGTCGTTTCATGAAAAACAAGACGACGGTAAGTTGATGCCACGTCGCCAAATCTTGTCTCTGGCTAAAAAGAAAGAAACACAAAAACCTCAAACCGATATATTTTTTCTTCTCAAAAATCAATGATCGATCGCCATCTTAACGAACTTTATTTACAAGAGCTTAGCGTCTTTCGTGAACTTACTGAACTTCCGGTGCCTAGGAAAATAATGTGTTTTTCAAATGACGTCACGATTCATTGAATTCTCAGCTCCATATTTACGTTATTTGAACGAGAGAAAACGTGATTTCGTTCGTTGAAAAAAAAAGACCCGGTGAATTCTTAAAGCAATATCCTGTGTTTTTACTCATTTTATCGATTGAATGAAAGCAAACCAGTGAAATCTGATTTTTTACATGTTAAGTATGGGTTCGTTTTAATAAGATACAATCAGTTATTGGAACAGTCAATTATTCGGAGAAAATAGGATATTCACAGAGGAACAAACGATATTGCCAAAATATATGCCTCACTCACACACACACACACACACACACACACACACACACATATATATATATATATATATATATATATATATATATATAATGGACTCTCCCGTCGGTTTCGGCGTATGAGGATCTAACAGCTTATTGATTCAGTTATGAAAGTTTATGCGATAATCTTAAGTGGCATTTAAGACCCGCCAGTGATTTATAAAGGAGGCCATATAAGGAGCAGGTGTGAGGATTGTGAGATGAGATCACTGTTAGATTGGCTGACATTTTAGATCTTGCTCTCACTTTTTGAAGATGATTCAGATAAGCAGATTGAAAATTGCTGAGTTCACTAAAACACGTTGGTCTCCATTCTACCCGCTCCAAAGCTAAGCGCTCAAGGGTATATTCACAGCTGACAAGTTGCTTTTCAGCTTGTGTTTGTATCTTAACCATGGGCGTCCTACATTCCTGTAGCTGGCTATACATTAGGATCTTGGGTATCCTGTCATCAGATATTACCTGCCCATCGTAACTGAGACTGTAAGTATATATATATATATATATATATATATATATATATATATATATATATATAAAATATCTGGAAAAACAAAACAAAAATCCTTAAAATGCGATTATATTTGTTTTAATATGATATTAAAACAACATAATGATATTTTTATTTTTTTCAATCATCAAAAATTCTGTCAGTTTATATCCATTTATATTTGCTTATATATATATATATATATATATATATATATATATATATATATATATATATATATATATATATATATAAATCGATTCTTCCGTCGGGTTCGACGTATGAGGAGAAAAAGATCAGTTTCCAGAAACTGACAGCCCATTTCAACAGCACATGAGATTTGATTATAGTGGTGAAGGTTTCGTTCAGGACCATCCACACTTTTTGAAGGGCCGATTACAGAGACCTGGTGCACTACGTGCCACAAGGTCCCCAAAACGACCCTCCGCAGGTTTTGAATTCAGAGTTGTCCTTCTCCTAGATCAGTTGCCATCCGAGGCTATAGAACCCAGTCTATCCATTATTTTACCCATATATATATATATATATATATATATATATATATATATATATATATATATATATATATATATATGTATATAAATTTAGTATGGGTTCCTTTTTTAATAAATCCAATCGGTTATTACAACAGTCAAGTATTCGAAGAATATAGCATATCCACAGTACCTTGTGAATCGTTTTAATGAAACGTACATATATATATATATATATATATATATATATATATATATATATATATATATATATATATATACAGATGTCCATAAAGTTCGTGTGCACTTTAAAAATTTATAACTTTATTTGTATTTTCTTAAAAGACTCCAAATCTATATTTTTTAAGATTTTAGTGAAATTTTATTTAAGTTTCCACATGTCCTCCATCATTAGCAATACAAGGGTAATAAGATTTTGCAGTTCATGGAAAACATTTGCCAACTGATTTGCCGTAATGCCTGAAATCACATTAGTTATTTTAGCTATACTTAAAACTAAGTACATTAAAATTTATAACATTTTTTACAGATTATTTCTATCGCAAATACAAATAAATTAATTGTATCTTTTACTGTTTAACTTAGATAAATTCTTTTCAGTTGTAATTGTGATTGAGTTGGTGGATAGAATAATATATTTGATTCGTTGGGTTTATGAGAAATGTCCGCTTTTCTATTTTGAAATATTTGGTGAGCCTTTTGTTTCGCATTGAATATAAAATTATTAGAGCATTGGAACAGCTTAAAAGTATTTTCAATATATTTCTTCTCTATATGTAAATACTAGGACTAACAAATTTTTCCATAAAGATTTTCCTGATATATATATATATATATATATATATATATATATATATATATATATATATATATATAACATTTTTCACATATATCAACAAACGACAATTTTTAGTAGATGCTGAAATTATAATTTTATTTCTTTTTATTTTTTTTGTTATTAAATATCCCAATATTGTGATAATAAATCTGCCAAGAATCTTCATGTAAATTTTTTGTTGATAATCTACTGGTTAAAGCACTTTCTATACATTTTCATCTTAGTAAATTGTTTTCTTTTTTAATTAAAATAACTTCTTTTTTTTAATCAAAATTATGATCAGACGGTGAGCAACTATGCATCGAGTGTCTTGTTTTGTAAAAGACTTCTTTTCTGTTGATATAATCATATTTAAATTCCTAGAGGTTTCTCCTATGTATTCCTTTTGGCAATCATTGCAGGTTATAAATAAAAATTCCTCCTTCAAGTTTTAGCATATTATTTTGTTTTGTATTAAGTTTTAAAGTAGTTGTAACAAATTTTATATTTAAGTTTAAATTCTTTTCAATTGGAGTTGTGATAGAGTTGGTAGGTAAAACAATATATATTGATTCATTGGGTTTGTTAAAATTTACTCAAAAAATCTTTTCCCCCCTTTGTCATAGATTTTCCTAAATTGTTCTTAATTTAAAAAAATTAAATATCATTTTCAAAAAAACACATAGACATATATGTATGCATATATATTGCGTGTATTAGATAGAAAATGTTCTTTAAAAATATTGTCATTAAATACAGGCGTTTTGTGTTGATTGTTTTTATTGATTGACTTTTTATAAACAATGAATAATCCTTCTCAGATAAAGGAGTCAATTACGTCAGAAATTTTCAAATAACATTTTATGAAAGAAATATGGTCCGAGTTTTCGACTTTCTTAAGTCATCATCAGGGTAGGAAGAGACAAATGGTTGAATTTCTTAGAACTCTGCCTACCCTGATCAATTCTTTCAAGTCAAAAGCTTGGACCATATTTCTTAAAAAATAAACTCTGGAAAATTTTTGATCTTTTTTGTCGGCTGACAAGGATTATTCATAATTTGGAAAAGTCGATCAATAAATATATTGATTCGTTGGATTTGTCAGAATAGTTCTCTCATATATATAAATATATATATATATATATATATATATATATATATAAATATATAAATATTTACTATAGAAATGTATTGAAAATGAGGTAAAAGGTGATTGTCAGTGGTTAGGAATTAATGTAATCGTTAGTGAGAGATTAAGCCTATTATATGAATAATAGATAAATATTTATTATAGAATACATAGCAAATGATGAAGAAAGGTATTGTCAGTGGTCAGGAATTAATGTAAGTTTTCCGCGTATATTAAGGATATTATAGGTACAATCGATAACTATTAACTATATAAATGTATTCCAAATGAGGAAAAAAGGGATTGTCCATGGTCAGGAAATTGTAAAAGCGTTACTGTCATATTATGGCTATTGTATGCATAATAGATAAATATTTACTATAGAAATGCATCATAAGCGATAAAGAAAGGGATTGTCAGTGGTCAGGAATTAAAGCAAGTGTTACAGGGAAAATATGGCTATTATTTGTATAATAGATTAACATTTACTAAAAGAAAAGGGATTGTCAATATTCAGGAATAAATGGGAGTGTGACTGGGAGATGGCGGTTTTTATATGTTTAATCGATAAATATTTACTATAGGAATGTATTCCGAATGAGGAAGAAAGGGATTGTCAGTGGTCAGGAATTAATGTAAGCATTACTGACAGATTAATGTTATTATGTTTAATAGATAAACAATTATTATAGAAATGTAACAAAGGGATTGTCAGTGGTCAGGAATTATTGTAATGTGTTACTGAGAGATTATATACGTATAATAGAAAAATAATCACGAAAGACATAAATTATCAATAGTCCGGAAGTTATATAAACGTTGATATCATATTAATGCTATTATATGGTATTTATCAATTCACCCACAGGAATTCAATGTGGCACAAATAATGGAGTTTAATGTGGTCCAGCTACATTAAAAAACAAATCTGAAACCTTTAACTTCCAGTAAATCCCCGAATAAATAGTGTTCCGAAGAGGTAAATGGTTTTAAAAGCCCATTTGCCAAAATAAAAATACCATCTAAACCCGTCCAATTTTTTTTAATGGGCTAAGTTATATAATAGATATATATTTAACCTCCCCGAACGAAACCCCACCCTTCGGCGGATAATAGACAATCGTCCATATTGGTTCCCCTTTATAAAAATCCAAGCAGAATGATTTGTTTATGTTCGTGTGCCGCGTCCTATAAAAATTTTTGAAAACCCAAAGTACAAAGGAAAACTAAAAGCGCAAGTATAAATATAATATTTATTTAAAAAAAAATATATATACTTTAAATTTGCGCATATGTAATTTGATCCTATAACTACCGGGCCGAAATGTTCATATTCTTTTTAATGCTATTATATGTATAACAGATATATACATTATTTATAGGATTGTTTTGCAAATAAGGAAGAATGTATATAAATTTTTTAAAAATTATGTTGACGACATATTCAGGAATTTATATGTTTATATTTGGCTAGAGTCCCTAATTTTAGAATACGGCTTTTATAAAGATAATCAATCTTGCTTATTTAATATGATGTAATTTATGTTAGACAATTATTTTATATCATTTTATTAATATTTTTTATTAGAATTTTATTTTGAACAGCTCGGCAATTTTAATATATCTTTTGAAAGGAAAATTTCTCTCAGTGTGAATGCCTTTGGTTTCGTGTATTTGTTTATATATGTATGTTCGTGTGCATGCTTCTAAAATTTTTGCAGACATTAAATAACTGTTTACAAAAACAACGCATAAATTTTCAAAATGTATTTTTTTGACCATCAAATACGATTAAATTTTATTATTTATATTAAATTTAATTCAAGTTTTTCAGTTTCATATTGATGATACTTTAAAAAAAAATGGCGTTTCTTTAAAAAGCACTTAATGTAATTGGCGCTCGAACAGATGGAGAGACTAAAACATTTATGTGTACTCAACAAGAAATGATTTATAAATATAAATGTTCCGTTATAGGATACAGGTTCGAATCCTGTCCTTTCGGAGGACGAATATTTTCTGTGAAAATTTCTCGGACATTCACGCCGGTAAATGTTGTTTAATACTGTTTATTATAAACAGAGCATTTACTTAAATATCTCTATCTATAAAAGGCAGGATGTGTGTGTGTGTGTGTGTGTGTGTGTGTGAAGAATGCACGGCCGCAATTTTCGACGGATTTGCACCAAAATTTACATGCACATGCTCCAAGTTAGCGGGAAGGCCAAGACCGACTTTGCATTTCCCAACTCCCATCGATAGCGGAAATAATCGATTTTTTCATACTTCTACGGCAGTTTTCACGTACTTTGCGGCCATTTTCTACTGGCCAAGGTGAGAGCCTATAGCTGGCTGCCACGAATAGGCAGTAAGATTCTATTGGCCAGCGTGAGATCCAACAGCTGACTGACACGAATGTTAACTAGCATGCTGGCATGCAAAAAAATCGATAGCTGCATTCGTCACAAGAAAAATTTAAATCTGCATGGCACTTTACTCCAATTGGCTCATTCGCTTGCTTAAACTCAACGTTGATTCTGATTCCGCAGAACTGGGTTGGGTGTGAAAAAGTATTTGTTGTTAACATTCTTTTTTAAATTCGGTTTTTCCAGTTACGAGTCCTTTTTTTTAAAGCTGATCGTTTGGTGTTCATTTTGTTTAGTTCTTTTCTCGTAACAGATTTAATGTTTAGTATAGAGCTTAGAAAAAATTCTCAGAGTGAGATAAACAAGAAGTAAGGCATGTAGCAACATCAGCACGGCAAAGGGCACTCCTTTAAAGGCAAGGAAGGGCAAAAATATTTTAAGCCGAGTGATGGCGATTGCTGTATGAGTCGTACGATTTTTGAATCAGGCAATGCCGGGTCCTGCTGCTTAGTTTGTATCTATAAAAAGAATGTATAAACATAAAAATGTCTTAACATATATATATATATATATATATATATATATATATATATATATATATATATTATGATGTGTGACAGCGTCAGTGAAAGTGAATAAACTGAATCCAGTATATGTGTTTTGTATTACTTTTCGATATCGGGTGTAAGACTTTCAGACCACCCTATAGATTTGTAAAATTATTTTTTTTTATCCAATCATGCGTAAATCGTAGATTAAATAAAGGGTTCACTTCTAACATTCTTATTCTGACGAAGGCCCTACAACGGCCGAAATGTTACGGTCCGCGTGTAAATAATGTTAGATCCAGAAAGTCAGACAGTACACTGGAAAAGTTCTCAAGCAAGATCTCTTCCCCGACCCCCAAAGACCCGCTAACAAAAAGCAGCTAGACTCTGGTCATATGGCCCACCATTAGGAAATAATTTTGACCGAGAATAACTCGTATATAATTAAAAAAAAAAATGACGCACATTCACGTACCCAGAGTTGATGTCTTTAGAATATTCAGACATATAGCACGAAGAGATGTGGATAAGAAAATCATGCAGGTGCTTCTCCCACAGTGACATATTCATGAGACTGCAAAACGCTTTTGGTACGCTATACTGAAATCTGTGTCTTCTCTTAACGAACTTAATAATGTGGTCTGGCGGCGAGTGACGTTGACATATTGCTCGACGCGCATCGAACATTTGACGAGTTCGTGTGTTTTGGACAGTGATTTTGAAAACATCGATTCGCCTGTGGTGGTGGCGGTGGCGGCGGCTTGGGAGGGGGTGGAGGTTAATGTGACTGCCTGCATCTGCATCAAACGTCTATATTTGATGCCTGGCATTTCTGGAGACCTGAAAACTAATTACTGGAGAAATAAATTGGGAGAGAAACAGAGAGAGAGAGATCAGAGGGGTGTACTGTAAATTTTATATATATGAAAAGAAATTGGTACAAACAGGGAGATATTTTCCCTCAAAGATAGATAGATAGATAGATAGATAGATAGATAGATAGATAGATATACACAGGCTGAGATAGATAATAGATAGATAGATAGATGATATGAACAGGCTGTGATAGATAGATAATAGATAGATAGATATATATAGATAGATAAACATAGATTTAGATAGATATGAACAAACTGAGATAGATTTCTGGGTATGAACAGGCTGAGATAGATAGATAGATGATAGATAGATAGATAAACATAGATGGATGATATGAACAGGCTGAGATAGATAGATTTTTCAGATGGATAGATAGATATGAATGTAAACAAACTGAGATAGATGGATGAATATGAACAGGCTGAGATAGATAGATGGATGGATATAGATAGATACCATGGATAGATGAATGAATGTGGACAAACTGAGATAGATAGATAGATGGATGGATGAATATGGACAAACTGAGATAGATAGATAGATGTGAACAGGCTGAGATAGATGGATAGATGATTAGATGTGAACAAACTGAGATAGATATATAGGTATGAACAGGCTGAGATAGATAGATAGATAGATAGATGGATAGATAGATATGAACAAACTAAGATAGATATATAGGTATGAACAGGCTGAGATAGATAGATAGATAGATAGATAGCAAGAAAGAAAAAACTGATATACTGATTATTGTTATTTTGAAAAAAAATTTTTTCTGATGACATGCCATACTGGAATTTTTCAAAATCTTTCTCTCCCTCTCTCTCCCCTTTCCTCTCTCCCTCTCTCTTTATCTCTCTCTCTCTCTCTCTCTCTCTCTATATATATATATATATATATATATATATATATATATATATATATATACGAAAAAAATGTATATTTATTATTAATATATCATTTATGGTCCTTTTATTTTACATCGAGCACTATTTTATTAACACCAGGACCCAATGCCCGATATTATATATATATATGCATTTCGTTTATATTGTTCATAATAAAGAAAAAAGAAAGAAGAAAGATAGCAAAAAGAAAAAAAAACAAAAAAAAGTAGAAAAAGAATGAAATAAAATTAAGTGTCCAGTCGGGCTGCGTAGGTCTTAGCCCTATCTGAGCTAGAAACATACTTAATATACAATGTATTTTTTTTGCTTTGATTTTATAAATAATCTTCTAAAAATCTCTAATGACTTGTATGCCCTGTTTTTCAAAGAACACAATTTTGTTTTAACTTTTTTGTTTTCAAATGTAAAATTTAAATAATTTATTCCGTACAGTATGAGTTTTTTAAGGGGAATGCATCTTTTGAGAAAGGGCAAATTAAATTTAGCCCGGTCTAAAAATCGGTCGTCGAATGGAGGTTTGCAGTAAGGATTTTGACTGGGCAAGTGTTGAGGAAATATGATATCAGTCAGCAGTACATAAACACACAGATAATAATATACATAAGCACACATAGACATATATACAAACATATACTCGAGATAGGTACTCGTTATTTTTTTAAAAAAACAAATATATCTTGATTTGTCTTTTTCTTTTACATGTTTCGAAAAAAAAGTTTTAAGTGTATATTTTTATAGAATTATTACAATAGTATTAAAATACCACAATTGTTTTTTTTGATTTCATGCACAGAGACTTTTAAAAATTATATATTTTAGTTAGAATAAAGGAATCATTTTAGCATCTAAGTTATACCAATAGTTTATTTAGTTATAGACTGTAATGAGCTCGACAAATATTGATGACGTAGAGTCTCCAGTGAGGTGAACTTATGTTGATTAAAATAAGCTCTCCACAGAGAATTTTTTAATTCCCTATTTCTATAACGAGGGGGGTCACGCTGAAAAACATTAATTTTTTGCCATATGTAATTTTGTTGCTGTCAGCACATCCAGTCCAAGGTTCAAGACCTACTGAAGGTAAAGAGATAGTGAGGTTGTTGTAAGCGAAGAGAAGGAGGATATAAGTGCATATTATAAAGTCGAGTAGGATAGATATCGGTTGACCATCTACTTACAGACCAATATTATAGTTCTCAGCAAAGCATCCCCTCGGGAGTCTGTTCCATAAAGCAACAGTTCTGGGAAAGAAATTGCTCCTTATCAAACGAACACAAAGGAAATGGTGGGGTAAACTTTAATTAAAACAAAAATATGGCATGGCAGGCTCTAGCTTCGAAGATTTTGATTTGTTTTGGTTTGGTTTGGTTTACGAAATTTCAACCTCAATGGGTTATTTAATGCCGACAACATTTTAGGATAATTCATTATGAATAAAATATGTATTCTTTGGTTTAGATTGGTTTGGTTTATTTTTTTTTTTGTATCAACGTCAATGGGTTATTTAATGCTGACAACATTTTTAGGATAGATTTCGTATGAATAGAATATGTATTCTTTGGTTTAGATTGGTTTGGTTTATTTTTGTTTACGGCCTATCAACCTCAATGGGTTATTTAATGCCAACAACATTTTTTCATAGATTCGTATGAATAGAATATGTATTCTTTGGTTTATATTGGTTTGGTTTATTTTGTTTTTTACGGCATATCAACCTCAATGGGTTATTTAATGCCGACAACATTTTAGGATAGATTCATATGAATAGAATATGTATTCTTTGGTTTGAATATTGGTTTGGTTTATTTTTGTTTTGGCCTATCAACCTCAATGGGTTTATTTAATGCCGACAACATTTTTAGGATAGATTCATTATGAATAGAATATGTATTCTTTGGTTTATATTGGTTTATATTTATTTTGTTTTTTCTGAGGCATATCAACCTCAATGGGTTATTTAATGCCGACAACATTTTAGGATAGATTCGTATGAATAGAATATGTATTCTTTGGTTTGGATTTTGGTTTGGTTTATTTTTTTTTTACGTTGGGTTATTTAATGCTGACAAATTTTTATTCTAGATTCGTTTGAATAGAATATGTATTCTTTGGTTTATTGGTTTGGTTTATTTTGTTTTACGGCCTATCAACCTCAATGGGTTATTTAATGCTACAACATTTTTAGGATAGATTCATATGAATAGAATATGTATTCTTTGGTTTAGATTGGTTTGGTTTATTTTGTTTTACGGCATATCAACTTCAATGGGTTATTTAATGCCGACCAGATTTTTAGGATAGGTTCATATGAATAGTATATGTATTATTTGTAAGAAAACAGTTTGTAGATCAGGCTTCATTGAAGTATTTCTGTAAAGAGGGTTTTTGTCAAGAGTCTAATGTATTACTGGTAATATTTCTTTTTCAAAAATGTATTGCTTGTATTTTTACTATAAAAATCTATTTTTATTATTTCATAATGTTTTGACCCCAGATTGTGAGTTAACTATTTGCCTGTTGTGGATTAAATAAGACACCTTCTTAAAATAAATGAACTAAGCAAGACGCCTTAAATAAAGAACTCCAAGCGAGTCAAAGTAGCCCGTCGAAGTCAGACAGTACGTTGCCAGGCTCGCGACTGACATGTCGAACTCGCTGCCTGCAGAGAGGAGTCCAGACGAGGTTATTCCTATGGGCAGAGTCTCGTCTGGCGAGGTAGACAAACCCGACCCCGTGTATGTTGGAATTTTTGGGTACCCTGGTGTACTAGTGAGCCAGCCAAAATGAGCTGACTCATTTTATAGTTCACCAATAGAAGGGTTAACCAATCAGAAGGCTCAAAATATTCAATGCGACGTGTATAAAGGCGGCCATGTTTTTTTTTCTGAATATACACTGCCAGCCTTTGATATCGAAGACTGAATAATTACGGAACAGCTGATGGTGGTATTGGCGATATAGTCAGATTCAATAGAGTGTGTAACTCGTGAGTGTTAATCTTTAACATTGTTTCATTGAACACATTACGTACTGCGCTCTATTCATAGACATGATCAACAGTGTATGCTTGTTCTACTGTGGATTTTTTCCAGGCCTCCTGACTCGGATTCGCCCCACATAAAAATCGTCCTTGTGCCATATCCTGCACTGTGGAGGGGTGGCGTCAGTCGGGGAGAATTTCTAATGACGTCACAAGGACTAGCCTAAGTGAGACAATAATAATATAATCCCTAGAAACCTCAATGGGTTATTTAATGCCAACAATATTTTTAGGATAGGTTCGTATGAATAGAATATGTATTCTTTGGAAGAAATCAGTTCGTTGATCAGGTTCCATTGATGTATTTTTGTAAAGAGTGTTATTGTTTAGCGTCAGATTTGCTTTGATTTATGTTGGCGTCAGTCGGGGAGAATTTCTAATGACGTCACAGCGACTAGCCTAAGCGAGACAATAATAATATAATCCCGAGGAACGGGTTATAACAGTGGGGACGAAGGATCGAAACTCATACGGAGAAGGAACAAGCATTTTTTTTTTTTTGCTTCGGTGCACATGATAACAATGACCATGAGAAATTATGATCGTGTTGGTTAATTTTTTTCTTTGGTATGTTAAAAAAAATGAGGAAGAAAGTAAAAAAAGATATTCTTTAAATATGGAAGAATTATTAGTCCAAGTGTTAAAAATACAACAACTGCAATAACAACAACTGTCGTTGTTGGAATTCCAGAAACAACAACAAATTTTAATTAAAATAATACGGAAGAAAACGGAAATTTCTTTCACTCCCGCATCGGTGGCAAATGCCATAGCTGAATCCGCATACATTAGAGATGATGGAATTTCCTTTACTGCTTATTTTAGAAGATACGAGCAAATTTTTAGAGAAGGGTGCAGCGAGTAAGACAAGAAAAGAAACAAGACATTTGTTCAGTTAGAATATGTAAAATACGGTAATTTTGTACAACCGAAAAACCAGGAAAAATTTGCTGTGAAGAAACAGTAAATATTCCGACTAAAATTTTTAGCGAGAAAAGTTATTCAATACTCGCTGGAAGTGCATGAATCTGACAAAAAAACAAAACGAATATTCTGTCATATATGCTGGTTTCGTTAAAAAGGAGTGTGAAAGATTCAAATTAAATGAACTGACACTGGAAATGTTTAGAGCGTTAATTTTCGTTCAAAGGTTGACGGCAAAAAAATGATGCAGAAATACGTGCTAGAATTCTAACGAAACTTGAACAGAATAAAAATTAACACTACAAGAAATATCGGACGAATGTAAGAGAATCCGAAATCTGAAACGCGATACGGAAGAAATTGAAAAAAAGAATGCGCATACATACAGTCTAAAGAAAACTGTGGAAAAAGAAAGATTAATCTATATTTCAGACGTGGACTGTTACATCTCGGAGACGACTGTCCTCTTAAGAATTCAAAGTGTTACAAGTGTGGAAAATTAGGACATAAAAAGTCAAACTGTAAAACTAAATAAGGGAAAGTTCTCATAAGAAAAATATCACATACAACATTGCGACAGAAAAAATAATTGCAGAAAAAAAAATTTTCTGTATCTAAAAATTAATAATATAAAAATTAATAATGTAAATATGCAATTAGACACTGGTAGTGATATCACAATAATCAATGAAGACATATGATGGATGGAGTACTGATGCTTGCACAAAGAATAGTAATATTAAAAAAGCGGATATTTCATAGTGCAAATCCGGGAATTGCAAGGATGAAATCTCTTATGAGAAGCTATGTATACTGGACCAAAATAAATCAAGACAATGAAAAATTAGTAAAAGCCTGAAGTGGTTTTGCTCTGGCGGCAAAATCACCTACCAAAAAATTACGACAGACAGATAATCCGTAGTCAAGATTTCCTGACCACTGACAATCCCTTTCTTCCTCATTTTCAATACATTTCTATGGTAAATGGTAATCTATTATAGATATAGTAGCCCTATTCTGCCAGTAACACTAGTATTGGTTCTTGACCACTGACAATCCCTTTATTCCTAATTTATAATGGATTTCTATAATAGTTTTTATAATAATAATAATAATAATAATGGAACGAGAACAATCTACCCACGTGGACTAAATAAAATTCCAATGTATATCACCTGAAGAATACCGGATCGTACAAAGGCCGAAACGTCGTGAATATAGCAATAAAGATATGGACAATACTTGGAACAATGTAAATAGTGTAAATAATTAGAATACCTCATCTCAGAAATATAGACAGATCCTGAAGAAGACCAGAGCGTACAAAGGCCGAAACGTCGTGAATATGACGAAGAAGATGATGACAACCGTCCGAACAATGTAAATAATGTAAATAATTACAATACCTCATCTCAGAAATATAGACACATCCTGAAGAAGACCGGAACGTACAACGGTCGAAACCTCGTGAATATGGCACTGAAGATGAGGACAACAGTGCGATCAATGTAAAAAGTGTAAATAATTAAAATATCTCATCTCAGAAATATAGACACATCCTGAAGAAGGCCGGAGCGTACAACAGCCGAAACCTCGTCAATATGGCACTGAAGATGAGGACAACAGTGCGAACAATGTAAACAGTGTAAATAACTCATTTTTTAGGTGAACGTTTTGATTTTGCAGCAATTTGCAGTGTTGAGGAAAATACCCCAGTGCAGCTTATTACGTTTTCTTAGGGTGTAGGTGAACATGTCTCTCCACACTCTCTCTTTCCTAATATTTGTAAATTGTTTATTTTCATGCTTTTGGAGGGAAAGGTTGTAGTATGGTTTCCTCTCATTTAATTTTATCCAGAGTTACTAAATCTAGATTTGCTTTCTGGCTACTCTAGCAAGGTTATATAACTCAGTATACCCTACGATTTTACCCATAGCTGGGAGTGGGGGGGGAGCATGTAATAATTTTTTTCAAAAGACGTGTGTGTGGGTGAACACAACAGACTTGTTCTGCTGATTCTGTTGCCAGGTACCAGAACACGTGAACGTGTTGCGGGTACATGTTCTGGTATAAGGCCAACAGCGAAAAGTCGCCAACGAGAATCGAACTACCTACTTTGATCTGTGGGCTCATCTTCATATTAGCACCCAGACACATAGTTACTCTCCACCCTTATCGACATAAACGCTCAAAATCAATTACGATCACAAATGTTGCTTCCGGTCCGGATGTAAAACAGCCTTTAAGAAACTAAGGCCGACGCTGATCAATGACCTCGCCAATATCCTGCCATAACCAATCGTAGATTTGTGTCAATTAACGCGATGGTGCTAATGGCCATAGGCAATGCCTCCGACATTGCGCAGATATGATCAACTTTAAATACCCAGACCCGAAACACTTCATCACAAAGCAAGATAACAGTGAATTAATTGTCAAATACAGGTATTTGTTAAATCTATAATTTTCAGAAAAGTCATTACTATTCCAAGAGTTTTTAATAGCTGTCAACCTATCAATATTTTAGTACAGACATATTGTAAATACTATTGCTACAGAAATACATTTCAAATATCTTTTTATAGCAAAATGACCAGCAATACATTTTACCTGAAGTTGAAGCCGTACAATTGCGCTCAAAATATATTTAACTGAAGCCATAAAATTTTATTCAAAATATTTAGATTTCGGCATTAAATAACCCATAGAGGTGTTGATTTGCCGCTAAAACACTACCAAAATATATTAAGATATACTAACCATATATTTTATAATAGAGTTACAAACAATAGCATTTTATCTGTAGTTGAAGGCATACAATTGCTCTCAAATTATATTGAGCTGAAGCCATAAAATGTTGTTCAAATTATTCAGATATCGGTATTAAATAACCCATAGATGTGTTTTGATGAAAATCCGCCAAATAATGAAACTCGTCAGAATCCATCTTGCACATTTATAATTCTACCATTCGTCCTTCCGTGAAACACTGTCGCCATCTTTGGTCTGGTGTCTCTGCTGTACATGTTAAGATTCTTGACAAAGTTCAAAGAAAAGTCTATAATGTAATCGATCCTGACCAGGCAGCCCGACTTCAGTCACTTTCTCACCGACGTGATGCGACATCTTCTTTTTTTTTTTTTGTCCCCTCACTCTTTTCCAGAAATATTTTCTCGGCAAGTGACCTGAGCAGCTTTTGATGTAGTCCTAAACATAAACATTAATTTCCATATTATAAATATGTCCTTTTCTTTTTTGTACTTTTAAATTGAACGGGGATTACACAAAATCTGTATTGATATCATTAAAGGCAACAGGTTTAGTTTGGTGTGTTTTACGGCATATCAACCTTAATGGATTATTTAATACTAACAAGTTTGTTTTCTTTTTATTTATTGCTGGTAATAATTTTTCCTTCAAACATGCATTGCTGGTAAGTTTTTTTCTTAAAAAATTTATTGCTGGTAATAATGGGTTCCTGGTAATAATTTTTTTGTTCTTCAAAAATTTATAGATGGCATTAAAACCTATTTTTACACTTTCATAGTGTTTTGACCCCAGTTTAGGATTTAACTATTTGCCCATATTTGGTACCCTAACAGGTGCTACCACCCCGGGTCAGTGAGTGCGGAGCCACTAGCAAAAAAAATGGAAATAAGAAATGGTTCCATCTTCTCAAAAAACCTCCTGATCAGAATACTTGCTGCCGGATGTATTTATCGTCTTACCATCAAAGCCTAATTTTTTTTTTAAACATCTGCAGACGATTTCGGCAGAAAAAGGTAACAGATTCTACCCGTCATCCACAAAGGGGTAATAAATATGCTGCCACAAAAATGACATATGAAGATTATGATGGGAATTTAGTGCTACCGTCTGGTTAAAAAAAGCCGAATAAAAACACTTCTTCATAATTTTGAACATTAAGTCAAAGTCATCGGGCTCCATATTAATTTGGACAAAACAGAATATACAGCCTGCCCATGAAGTTCGCGTGCACATTAAAAACATGATAACTTTATTTGTATTTGCGATAGAAATAATCTGTAAATAACGTTATAAAGTTTAATCTACCTAATTTTAAGTATAGCTAAAATAACTAATGTGATTTCAGGCATTACTGTAAATCAGTTGGCAAATGTTTTCCGTGAACTGCAAAATCGTATTACCCTTTTTGTATTGCTAATGATGGAGGACATGTGAAACTTAAATAAAATTTCAAAAACCTTAAAAAAATAGATTTTTATTCTTTCTAATCCTTTTTACAAATGATTTCTATCGCAAATATAAATAAAGTTATAAATTTTTTTCAAGTGCATCTGAACTTTATGGACACCCTGTATAAGCTTAAATCAGACGGCAAAAATGAAAACTGTTTATGACACACCTTTCAACTGTGAAGAATAATTTACTTATCTCGTTCATAAAATCTCGAGCTCTGAATGTGAAAATATATAATTTTTTTATATATGTTATATCCCAGTACCTGTCTAAATTTCTGAGATGAATGAAAATATTTACTATTTACATTATTCGGACTATTGTCCTCATCTTTGTCGCCATATTTATTACAACGTTTCGGCCTTTCAGTTTCTGTCTATATTTCTGAGATGAGGTATTATGTACATTATTTACATTATTCGGACTATTGTCCTCATCTTTGTCAATTTATTTATTACAACGTTTCGGCCTTTCAGTATCTTGTCTATATTTCTGAGATGAATAAAATGTACATTATTTACATTACTCGGACTATTGCCCTCATCTTTGTCGCCATATCTATTATACGTTTTGCCTTTTTTATCTGTCTATATTTCTGAGATGAGATTTTTTATGTTTGCATTTATTATTCAATTCATATTTTCCTCCAGATTTTTGTCACCATATTTATTACATCGTTACAAGGGCCCAAACGTTGCCTCGGTATATGGCGATTTTTAATGAGGACAATAGTTCTGAATAATGTAAACAAATATTATCTTTTAAAGAATTTCAAAATTTCGAAAATTTTTTTTTTTATCCGATTCTTTTTTTATTAGTTACAAGCAAGTCACCATAGAGAATGTAAATTACATTTTTTTTTTTCAAACGAATACTCATTTCCCGAAAATCTGCTCCGAATCGCAAAAGAAAAAATGCAATAAAAATATGACAGTATTTAATTAGAAAATCTTTAAATTGCTTTTATAAATCAGATTTATTATGGTCATTGTTTTCTTAAGAAAAAAAATGTTTTTGATGGATAATGAATTTTTACAAGAATTGGTTACATTTTTTTCTTATTTAAAAAAAGCCGAACAGAAATCTTTCTTCATATTTTTGATCATTAAGCCAAAGATATCAGGCTCCATATTAACTCGTACAAAAACTAAATACATAAGCTTAAATAAAAATGGAAAAATATAAAATTGTATAATTTCTAAATGGCATTTTTCTTTCAAATTTTTGAAAATTTTTTTTTTTAGTTATCTAGTTTGTAAAAAAAACATTATTTCTGAGTTTCTTTCGATATAAACACACGTATTGTTAAAGTTATATATTTGCTGTCGACAAGTCTCCCTTTTGTGTGGAAATCAAACACCTGAAAATGAGATTTTAATTTTTAAAACTGTTTTTCCCGTTCTATTGTATGGCTGCTCAGCGTGGAACCTTTCGTTAAAACTGGAAAGGAACGATTTCATTTACACCACGCATTGCTAAGCGTGGTTTTGAAATATTGTATATATAGATCGCCTGACCAAATATATATTGATGTATGGGAACTTTCGTTCAGTATTTTTTCCTTCTCAAAGATTTTCTTTCTCGGAAAGACTTTTCTACGAAATTAAAAGTGAAGATCTTTTTTTTTTTGTGGCAGAGTCCAAAAGGAGAAATTTTTTTTATTCCATCTGACAAGCCAAAACCTAAATCGAGCAATCATCTATTTGCAACATTTTTTGCAGTTAATCATCTCCTTGCCGAATAAGATGAACAATGGAATCGGATGGCGACACAGAGTGTGATTGGATTAGCATGATTGAGGGATTCTTGCAGGCGGCCATTGTTAAAGAAAATAATTGCAATCATGTCTAATAATCGCTTAAGCCGTGAAACTGAGTCACCATGAAGTGTTGAGTTCTTGGTCTATATTATCTATCTATCTATCTATCTATCTATCTTAGTCTATTCATATCTATTTATCTATCTCAGTCTGTTCAAATCTATCTATCTATCTATCTATCTTAGTCTATTCATATCTATTTATCTATCTCAGTCTGTTCAAATCTATCTATCTATATATCTATCTTAGTCTATTCATATCTATTTATCTATCTCAGTCTGTTCAAATCTATCTATCTATCTTTCTATCTATCTATCTATCTATCTATCTATCTATCTTAGTTTATTCATATCTATTTATCTATGTGACGTCGTCCCCTGGTCGCAGCGCCAACTGTGACGTTCTATTCTGGTCTACCACGGCACCAACTGTGACGTCCCTAAACAGCACCAATTGTGACGCCCTCGCCGCGGCGCCAGCTGTTCGCTCCTCCTTGCTCCGTTCGGGTGTCGCTGCTCCAAACGTGACGTCCGCCTGTCGCGTCAGTCGTGTTGTCTCATCCTGTGACGACCAACTGGCTTGGTATCGGTCGCGGCACCCAAATGTGACGTTCTAACCTTTTGGTGATTCGGGTGGTAATCTGGTTAGATTTGATATCAGCCGTGTCGTTCCCAACTCGCTTTCAACGCCTGGTTACCAAGGTAACTGCATTGATCTCCAGTCTGCCTACCCACGTTGTGAATTGATCTTAGGCAGACGAGATCAATCAGTGGTTGGGGCCGTAATGCAAACCGAGTTCAACGGGAGTGATACCACACAAATATGCATAAAAGAAAATAAAATGAAAACTCAAAAAGTTCAAAGTATCAAAGAAAAAGGTAAAAAACTTTATGTCTAGTTGTTCGATACATAGGACTGCATCTATCTCTCGACCCGTTCTATGGATTGTGACACGTCGTTCTCCGTTAGGCGAGTTTTAACGCTTCAAGTTGTTTGCTCTCTAAGAAATTGGTTTTTCGGTGTGTCTTTGGACGAAAGTCGAAAAAAAACTTATTTTTTGGTGGTCTGGATCTAAGTCGCTCTTCAAAATAATTGTTCTTGGGTTGAAGAGGAGTCCGGAATTTGCGTGAATCTTGGTCAGCTATCTGCGAGGCGGCTTCAACTGGAGACTCAACTCAAACTTTTCTGGAACTGAACTCCTGGAACTGATTTCTGCTCGTTGTGGCTTCGCTTTTATGGACGCCGACCAAAACCGGGGTGGGTCTGTCGGCGTCGGGGTTTCCTCGATAATTCTAAATACATATCCACCTCTTTTATTTCTGGTTAGGAATTTTCCACTTTTTTCCATTTTTGGGAACCTTTCCTCACTCCTCCCACCTTCTCACCATACTTCAGAGGGCGTGAACTGCCCTCCCCACTTCTTCGTAGCAGCTTCTCATACCTATGGGCGGTCGACTCTGGATGATCACCACTTGGCCAATGAGGTCGACAGCCTCCTTCGTGCGTCACGTGATCACCACTCGACCAATGATGTCTTAGTCGGGCGTGGACGAATCCGCGGCTTTGTTTCAGGAAAAAAAAATATCTTGCTTAACTAAAAAAAAATATCTTTCTTTTCCTTTTCTTCCTTTAATCGTCGTTATCATTTTTCTAGCCGCAAACGGGACAATATGAACAATGGCGGTCATAACTCTTGTTCTACACGTGGTTTTTGTCAGGTATTTTATCGCTAATTATCCGAATGGGTGGTCTTCTTAACACGGCCAACCGTCGCCCCAAAAAGACATTTCTAAATTCCCATTCATTTCCCTTCGGTACATATTTCTGATAACATAATTTTATTATCGCAGGCCAAAGATGTTCCGTCGAAAAAAATCGGTCAGCGGACACTCGTGGGTGGCTTTTAATTTTTTTCATATCTCTCCAAAGTCCTTTTAGTTGCCTGTTTTTTGTCACTTATCGAAATAACATTTTCATTTGAATTTTTCTTTGGTCAGTCGGTCTGTAGTTGATAATAAGATGCCTTCCCGTACCAATAGTTTGTTTTCATATCCTTAGATAACAAAGCCGTCGCCAAAACATATCTGATTCTTTCTTTCTTTCCCTTTCTTTTTACTCAGAATTTCCCTGTCATTGTAATGACACCCTTTCGCCATTTGTTACTTATCAAAATATCCCTTATCCATTGTCTCTTAGCCGTGTGTGTGTTCTGCTTATCATCTACGATTCGGTCCTTAGCCTCTCCGTTTCTTCTTTTCTTTCTTTTCTTTTTCTGCCTCGTTAAATGGTGCCACATCTATCTCTATCTGTTCAAATCTATCTATCTATCTATCTATCTATCTATATATCTATCTATCTATCTTAGTCCATTCATATCTATTTATCTATCTCGGTCTGTTCAAATCTATCTATCTATCTATCTATCTATCTATCTTATTCCATTCATATCTATTTATCTATCTCAGTCTGTTCAAATCTATCTATCTATCTATCTATCTATCTATCTATCTATCTTAGTCTATTCATATCTATTTCTTTATCTCAGTCTGTTCAAATTTATCTATCTATCTATCTTCATATCTATTTATCTATCTCAGTCTGTTCAGATCTATCTATCTATCTCAGTCAGATCAGATATATCTATCTGCATCAGTCTCTCTCTCTCTCTCTCTCTCTCTCTCTTTATCTAACTATCACAGTCTCTATTGTACACATCTGCCCCAGTTTGTGAGTGCTGCTCTCATGTACCCAGGGTAGCCGGTATATGATTACAGCCTCCACAAATAATCCGAACAATATAAATAATGTAAATAGTTGCAATACCTCATTTCAAAAATATAGACAGTTATGAATGCGATGTAAAGTAGGTACCCCAGTTTTTCGATAAAAAAAAAAAAATACAGCGTAGCATGATGTAAAAAGGCCCCAAACATTAAAAAACAGACATTTCTAGTCAAAATGTTTATGTTATTATTAAGAGGAAAGACCAAAGTATTTTTTAATCATTTGTTAAAAGATCTAACCCTTTCTAGCATGTTCGAAATATCTTGATTTTTAGGTCAGCAGTCAATGTAATATTTACGAGTAGCGTTTTAACGTCTATTTTCAAATGAAAATTGATTTGGAAATTTTGGAAAAAAAAATCAAATAATTGTCGGATTTTAATGAAACGTCCAGGACTAATTCACAAATGAATGAAATTATTTTTGAATATTTTTTAGAAAGTCTTGGTAAAAAATACATTTTTCTTTACACATGTTATCCTCCACTTACTTTATTTCATGAAATTTCGAGAAATTAAATTCTAATCCGATTTTTTTTTCTTTATTGGTTACAAGCAGGACTCCATACAGCCATTTTCTTTTCAAGTTACTACTGATTTCCCGAAAATCTGCTCTGAATCGTAAAATAAAATAATGAGATAAAACCATATTATTATTAATTAGGTAAGCTTTTAATTGCTTTTATAAATAAGATTTATAATATAAATTTATGAATAATAAACTTTTACAAGAATTGGTCAATTTTTAAAATTTTAATTATAATAATTTATAATATATAAATCTTTTAAAATTCTGCATTACTTTCATCCGATTACGTGATATTGGCAAGTGAAAACTATATTTACTAATCAAAATTGAAAAGCTTAATACAAATCATTTTACACCAACATTTTGTAAACATTTTTTATGTATATGAAATATTATGTAACGTGCCTATTTTTGAAAGTATGGTCGACCATACACGATATTATCAGAAAATAAGAGCGATGACTATATTAAATTTTAATTCAACATTCCTAAAATTAGCTTACGGAGAATATTTCTAACATTTTTAAAATTACTGAGTACTTAAAAATTATATAAAAAAAAGGGGCCCACCTGTCATTTTCTTAAAATAAATCTTAACAGATGAAGTCTCCGTAGAACAACAACAAATCTGTCAACACCTTTATCAGCACTAGTTATGTCATTGACGAGCTATGAAAAGTACGTAATCACCGCTACTGTTATTTTAAACTTAAATTATTCTTTTTTTTTTCAAATCAGACTTATTATACTTTAAATCAGCTAATATTCTTCAAATAAAATTTAAGAAAATTATATTTTATTTTTGAAAGATTTTTAATACAGAGAATTGTATTGCGATGACAGACGACCAAAAAGGACGCTAATCAGCTTTTTTAGAAAAAATATAAAAAAACTCGATTCCTATGAATATAATTTCTGTTTCAAATATACCAGAGTATTTTGCTTACTGGTAATAGTAAATTCAATCCTTTAGCTTTCAATTAAAGCTAAAATAAAGGCTTCAAGAAAGCTTTTTCAATTATAAAAATCCATTCTAAACCAAGGCGTCGAAAATTAGTGGAGGTACCTTATATAAAGACTGATGGGCCATCGACAAGTTATCTCTAGTGTGAAAATCTAGATTTCCAGTACAACATGAAAAGGAGTCTCTTTCAAGCAACTGTTACCACCGTTCTATTGTATGGCTATCCGCTTCCCTTAAAACTGGAAATAAGATTGAATGGAGCCGACACACGCATTCTGGGAGTGGCTTTGAATGTCACTTGGAGAGATTGTCTGACCAATGAGCGATTGTATGGGAACTTTCGTCCAGTATTTGCCATCATCGGAGAGCGTAGAGTCGTGTTCGCAGGGTATAGCAGGAGAGCTGCAGATTAAATTGCTAGCGAAGTTCTTTTTGTGGGGTCCTGTATAAGCTAGAGATGGCAGAGGACGACAAACCAAGACCTATATCAAGATTTGTGACGACATGAATTGCATTTCCTCCAACCTCCAGAATATCACGAAAAGCTACTATGTGATGAATAAATATACTGTAATTAAACAAGAAACTCCTAGTAGATGGTTCAAGTTTCTCGAGGGTTGAGCAGAGGCGACTGGATCAATTAATCATAGTCATTGTGGGTGTCATATCAGGGAACGTTAATTACTTTGATATTGAGACCTGTGTCAAGAGTTAAGCTCGCAACGATTTTCTGTCGTCATCCCGGACGGTAACCGTATACAGCGTTTCCTTAATATCTTTAATGAGTGGTATGTGACAGAATTGATTAATTATTATCTATCATCACTGATTGTGACGATGAAGCGAGATTTTGAGAGAAGGGGTGAAGGAAGATGGCGACGGATTTTGAGCGAACGCTAACCGGAAGCCTTAGAGGCGGGAGAATTCCTCGGCAGCGCGTACGCACAGAAGAGGGCAGGTTGATTTCGCAGTAGTGGAATTGATTTTCGCGTGACTTCAACTCGATTATTGACCTAATACGCCAACTTGATTATACCTGATGACAATCATTACCGTTCTACAAATAGGAAAGCTCCTTGCAATCACGATATCCCTAATCAGCCTCTGATCTCCCTGCCACCAACATTATTATGATTCGCGCAAGCTTTGGAATGTCGTTACGCAACTGATTTTGTAACAGAAAAATATACAGGTTGCGATGGGTAAATTGTCGCCATTTTCTATTTTTCGTTTCATTTTGTTTGTTTTTTTTATTTTTATTTTATCGACTGCACAGTATACTAGGGTCAGCTGGGCGCCGTCATTGAGCACCATGATGCAATTCACTCCACCAGAATTTTTTTTAAACCGCATGATATACTGTTTGGCATTCGCACCGGAATCTTCAGTACGAACATTTCAGCGTGCAGATGACTCGGAAAGATTTGGTTGAGTCTAATGGTGATTACGATGGTGATTACAGACAGCTCGGAGAACTCACTCTGATCGTTCTGATAAGGAAAGGACACAAGGTGAGAGCCTTAAACTCAACACAGAGGCCCAAGGGGTTAGCGCTGCCCTGGGTGAAGAGGTTAGCTGCTGGAAGACCCTATGCCTGCCAACAGGATTCTGCACCTGTCCGCACAACAAGAGAACCCACTCATGCGACCACATCACCCCTTACATCTGGCACAGATGCAACCAGACTGCAACCCCCTTGATTATTATGTGCGGGGCATAATTGAGCGAGAGACCAACAAAACTCCTTGTAACCCCAAAGATGAACTGAAGGCAAGGATTATGGCAGGATTCACCAACTTAAACAATGAGACCATCTAAAAGAGTTTCAGGAGATTTCGATGTTTCTGGAGGCCGTGGTTGAAGCCAATCGCGATTTTATTGAATAAATTTGCTCTATCGTATTTCAAGATATTTTTGTGTAATTTTAGTAAATATATCTGTTAGAATGAGATGCCGCGTTATTTTCATTTTTGCGTCGTTTAGACGACAATTTAACCATGGCAACCTATATTTTCCTGCAAACAGCCGCTATGGGTGAAGCAGCAGGGTAGACTGAGCTATGAAGTCTTGAGAAATACAAATACTTAATTATCAAATATACTCGTGTGTTTATATTGAATAAATTTACTGTTTAGTATTTCAAGATATTTTTTCTACTTCAGTGTTGTATATAAAACATTTTTCTGTATAATTGGTTATTTTTTTAAATTATTTTATTTCATTAAGATATTGTAGTTGTTGTTTTCATTCTTGTTATCTCAGATACACTAATGCCTCCAATGGACCTTGGTGAGTGGAAAAGACCAACATATTTCTTCCCTCTCTATCCAAGCACCTCATTAAGATTATGCGAATAAAGATAGACAACGACTGACTCTTGTTATAATGAGGTTAAAATTGTTCCGGAAAGTACCCATATGTGAGTATATTTACGAAGTAGCAGGTTTTGTAAAACCGGAAGTTATTTGAGTGGAACTTTCATTATATATTTGCAATATGGAAGAAACGACAGTGATTCGGCTCTGTGGTGGTATGGGCTGACCTAGTTGCAAAGGCCTGAAATGGTGAACTATGGAAGGGAACTCATCTGAAAATATGTCATGGAAATAGCAATAATATACTGATAGATCTGTGACGGTAGGTCTGTGAGAACCCTGGAAAATGAAGCCTGAGCAGCGCCAGGATATATACTGCGGCAATATTCCAATTTCGGTCTAATCTGAGTGCTGTTAGTTCACCCGGTACAAGTCCCAAGCGTCACTCAATGTAGAGGCTTACTGAGTTATACTGTTGTAAGGGAGGAGAAAAAGAGCGGTATTATGAGAACGAGTAGTATAGATAACGGTCAACCCTGGAGTTAAAGAGCTCAAGATTATAGTTTGTCGGGGAAGCATTCTCTCGGGAGTTTGTTCCACAAAGTAACAGTTCTAGAGAAGAAGTTGAACCTGCTTTTTATCAAAGGAGCACGAAGGGAATAGGGATAGTGAACACGGCATGGCGGATCCTATATCAGTGAAGGTCTGAACTTGTGGAACTAAGGAGCGTAACTCGTCCAACATATTTTAACATACAGATATAATTTAACTGACATGATTATTTATCAGAGTCGATTCAGAATGGTTACAAGACATTAACCTGTAATATAGGCTCAAATGCAAGAGATTGTATTTGTAACTTTTAATACTAACAGGGAAAACAATTTCATACTTTTTCTAAAAGTTAACACGTATAGATCAAACATAAGCTGAGAAAATCAATTGACGGAATATGTGAGCCACAAAGAATTCTTAAGGATATTTGTAATAAATATTCACCCATTGCAAGGCCCAAGAGCCGCTCAAGATACTGCAGTAGTATGCAGCTGTTTTATGCACTTAAGAGAGTGAAGTAAATACCGATTGAAAGGATATGTTGG